GAAACGAAGGAGACTCTATACCTCTACCTAGGGGTAACTCAGATGGCCGTTAGCTCGGTCTTGATGAGGGATGATGGGGTCCAGAGGCCCATTTATTATGTAAGCAAGGCCTTAAATGGGGCAGAAAGTAGGTATACTCCCACGGAGAAGGCAGGGTATGCACTATTCATAACGGCGAAGAAACTCACCTCCTACTTTCAGGCCCATCCTATTATCGTGTTAACTGACCTACCATTGGGTACGGTCATGAGGGACTCCACCTCATCAGGAAGAATGATCAAATGGGCCATGATGTTGACTCAATTCAACATCGAATATCGCTCGAGGACAGCGATAAAAGGACAGGCCGTGGCTGATTTTCTTGTGGAGATGGCGGGTCACCAGGAAGAAGAACCGACTAGGGCTATCACAGAGCCTTGGTGGTCCATGTCGGTAGATGGAGCCTCTGGATCGAAAGGTTACGGGGGAGGTGTAGTATTCACAACTCCGGAAGGGTTCAAGGTATATCATGCCTTGATCTTCAATTTCAAGCTCACAAACAACGAGGCTGAGTATGAGGCATTGATAGGGGGTCTGAGATTGGCCAAAACCCTACAAATCACATGCCTCAGGATCAAATCCGACTCAAGCTTGGTGGTAGGTCACATCAATGGCAACATGGAGGCCAAAGGAGAGAAGATGCAGAAGTACAGAGACTTGGCAAGGGCATTATTGAAGGATCTGACTGAGTATGTGATGGAGCAAATCCCTAGGAGGGAAAACACCGATGCTGACTTGCTATCAAAATTGACGCAAGGAGCCCCGGAGCATGTGTCCAAGCTGGCCAGGATTGAGACGCTGGAGAAAGCCAGCATTGAAGGGTTTTCTGTTAGCATGATAGAGGAAGATGGACAGCCCAATCCAGATCGAGTGGAGCCAGATGATATTTGGATGGATGACTTGGTCAGGTACTATATGACCGGGCAATTCCTTGAGGATGAGGATAGGGTAAGAAAAGTAAAGTTGAGGGCTCCAAGATTCCAAATGCTTGATGGAAGGCTATACAAAAGGGCATTTGGCGGTCCGCTGCTGAGATGCTTGACCAGGGCGGAGGCGGAAAGAGTGATCGCCGAAGTTCATGAGGGTGTCTGTGCAGCCCACCAAATGTCCAGGACACTCGCACAAAGGATCATCTTGCTAGGTTATTTCTGGCCTACAATGAACCAAGATTGTGAGAAGTATGTGCAAAGGTGCAAGACTTGCCAGGTGTTCTACAAGTTTCCGGGAAGGCCTGCGACATATTACCA